GGCCCATTGGGCCTCTTGTTTTTGTTACTTTGGTTTTTGACTTTACCCCATATGATTAATGGCACATCTTGCTTTATTGTTTCTATTTGCAGGAATTTCCAAGATCCACGGATAATAACAACATTGGGTGTTCTGATGGGATTCGATTTGGAGGCTAAGATGGGAGATATGGAAACCTCAGATGATGCTGAAAATGACCCTCAGCCTCAAAGTCCTCCTCAAATGGAAACCAATGATAGCGAATCGAGTAACAAAACACAAACCTCAGAACAAAATAGTGCTGTCACTCAGGTAGATAATACACCATAATGTAGCCATATCAACCATGAGGGGGTAGGTGTGGGGAGGAGGGTGTGGAGGGAAAAGGGACTTGTTGTGTGGACTAATGCCTACTTTCATCCTGATTTCAGCATCATAATTATGTTTGTCTTGTGGGTATGTTTTTCACTTGCTTTTAACTTTGAGTTGTAGTTTGTTTCTATTTTTTTTTGTTGAATTGACAGAATGTGAATGTATTTGCATTATCCAGCTTTTGCATTTGACATACCCAGTAGGTCTTTATTGATACTTTCATCATAGTGAAGAATATTCTAATATATAAATAAAAAAAATATACAAATACAAAATATATATAAATTTGATTGTTAATTTTTTATATGAGGTGAAATTTTACATACAAAAATTTACAAACTCAAACATTTTGATACAAAAATTTCATTAAAAAAATACAATTTATCATATTATTTATGACTTGTTGATTTCTCTAATATAATGAATATGTGAAGAAAAAAAGTTCAAATTTGTTTATCTATATATATGGAGATAAACTCCTTCTGATTATCTGTAATTTTGTGAGCATGTTTGATGACACAAAAGGTAAAGTTTCATTAGTGTTACCAACATGTAAATTTTCACATAAATATTTTGAAGAAATTCAAAATCAAATTATGATTTTATTTTCATAAATCTGCAGACTATGTTAACTCATCCACCCCTGAAATGTCGTTATGAACTTCTCCAACCTTGAGTGGGAAGAGTTCAAATTTGTCTATAGGGGTGAATGGGTTAATTTGATTGAAATTTATTGTGTTAAAAAAATCTGTCTCCCTTTCATGGGTTAACATCTTTTCAATATATTTCTGGTATTACTGGTAAAATGCATTATATGTATGTATAAAATGACACTGGATATCTCAGAAATATTTAAAATGTTCGGTTTTTGATTATTAAGATTTGTAGCAAAATGGTCTCGGTTTTAGAAGTACAGAAGTTATAACCTTTGCTAACACATGGGCTATGTTATAGGCTCTTGCTGAGAAGGAGGCTGGCAATGCTGCCTACAAGAGCAAGAAATTTGAGGAGGCACTGCAACACTATGGTGCAGCCATTGAACTAGACCCAAGCAATATGTCATTAAGGACCAATACAGCAGGTATGCATTCTTACATGGTTATACAATATATTTTAAGGTTCTCAAAAGAGGTGTACTATTTTATCTTAAAAGGAGTCTCCAGGGGAACAAGATTCATCTGTAAAGGAGCCTCAAGCGGACAACCTTTCATATTTAAGTACAAAGTCAATTTAAAATGGCTGTCAACATGTTACAGCTATAAATGAAAATTGTGTAAACTGATGATACATGCTCTATTGATGAACTGCTCAAAATTACTGGTTATTTGTCCAGAAAAGGTCATTTACCCAGAATTTAATTAATACCTTCAATCCTCATCTGCATTTCAACTGTAAACCTTAATTCAGGACCATACGATTTGTACTCAGAGGATATGTTATGTATTGCAGCCGTGTATTTTGAACAAAAGGACTATGACAGATGTATAGGAGTGTGTGAAGAGGCAGTTGAACTTGGACGTGAAAACCGAGCGGAATACACAATGATAGCAAAGTAAGTCCTATCATACAGCACATGACAGTAACATTACTGTAGGTCAAGTTACATGGAGACATAAAGAATATTTAAGGAGATTTCATTCCTGTAGGTCAAAGAGACACTGGTTATATTCCTTTATGTATGATGATCATGAAGTTGAGAGAGACACTGGTTATATTTAGTTGTTCCTTTGTGTCATGTCAAGTCATATGTCTTGGTTAGTTCATGGGAGATCACTCTGTATGTCTTGACATTTCATGCGACACCAGTACATGTAATATTTACATTCTAACTTGTGTATTTCATGTTAAGTCACATAACACCTTTGATTTTTGAGATACTTGAGCAGAACAATGTTTTTGTATAATATACAATGTTTTGTGTTTATGTCGACAGAGCCTTAGCACGTATGGGGAAAGCTTACCTGAAGAAGGAGGATGATGCAAATGCTTTGAGGTACTTCCAGAAAGCTCTAGCAGAACACAGAACACCTGATGTAGCCAAGAGTATACAGGAGGTATGTTTCATAATACCTTTACAATCTCTGCATATCATTTATTATTTCTAAAGGTATAATAGATCAGTTCATGATGATATATGAGAAGCCATCGTTTTCATGAGTATTTTCAATCAGAGCTTACACTTAAAACTATTTTACAATTTTTCATGGCCTGTGCATATAGCTGGAGTCATTTTCTTTGTACTCTCTTTCACAGTATTAATACCATGGTTTCATGTTGACTGCAAAAACCTTGCATATATATACATATTAATTTTGTTTTATGTTGTGTTGTAGATCGAGAAGCGCATGAAAGAAAAAGAAAGACTGTCATTTATTGACCCTGAGAAATCCTTGGAAGCAAAAGCATTAGGCAATCAATTCTTTCAGCGAGGTAAGAACTGATTTACTGATATGAAGCTATAGTTCCGTCAAATAACTGAAAGTTGTTGTATTCGACATCTTTAACTTGAAGACTACAGAGAAAAATATACGAAATGATTTCTACATGTTGACCCTAGGTTGTAGAGGGGAACTTGAAATTACTTGTGATTTTTGTAAAAAAAAAAGAAAAAAATAGTATCATAACAATTGAAAATGATCTGTTAAAGCTGGTGTACAGTGCAAACTTAGTTTGTTCATGTAACATTGATGAGATTTTCACTTCTGCTTTTGATATATATTGTAACATGAAACTTTCATTTGTACTGGTATTTTTTGGTGGTTTAGTGTTCTGAAGCAACATGATTGGTCAAAAACATTTGAGGTTACAAAATATTCATGTGGTAGTTTTTTTTGTGTTATTGGTCATTACCAACATTTCTGTTTGTAGTGCTATCTATTAAAGGGCTTTACAACAGAAATGTAAATAATATTATTATGATAATTATACAAATTTACTTATTCTATGTTCAGGTGACTATCCGACAGCAAAAAAACACTATGATGAGGCAATAAAGCGGAATCCAGAGGATGCCAAGTTATACAGTAACCGAGCCGCCTGTTACACAAAGCTAATGGAGTTCAGCTTAGCCGTAAAAGATGCTGACATGTGTATAAAACTTGACCCTACATTTGGTAAGGATATATCCATTTCCACAGCATCTTGATCCTGATAGCATTTCTACCTGTATTATTCCCTCCAAACCAGTTGGAGGTGATATATTGTTCTGTTCGTACATATAAATATTGGTCATCACTCTTATGACTTCATTTCTTAACAGACTAACAAGCTCATGTAATGGTAGAAGTATAAGAAAACCTCCAATAAAGTTTGTTTCAGGGTGTTAAGGTCAATGAAAATGTTCAGAGTTATATGTTTATAGTACATGTGGGTTTAGAAATATACAAATACAATGTAAGTCACAATTAGAGAATGAGGTTGCAAGAGTGATACAAAAATAGATAATGTTGACAGAGTGTAGGGTATTTCCTCTTTAGCAGTTAGTTGTTTGTGATGCCTAGTTACCTTTTTCCGAAAAAAGAAAAACCTTATTTTGTTTTATTCATTATATTTGAAATCATTGCAAATTATTTGGCTTAGAAATATCATGGAGTAGCTTAGAAAGCCAGAAAGACTGGTTTCTGGCTGAAATATATTCAAATGGCTTAGCTTGATTATAGTCCATCATCCAAGTGTGAATTAACATAAAAGTAGAAACCATAGCTAAATCAAATACAGTTATGATTTGAGACAAAATCTTCACTATTACATGTTACCGGGTGAAGCAGAGGGTTACCTCCTCTTTTGTGTACAATGAAATGTTAATTTCTATTTCGAAGAGAACATTTTGGTAGTTCTAAAGAGAACCAATTTCCTTTCTTTGAAGTAATCCAATACTTTCTTGTATATTTTCTCAATCATGAAGTGGAAGACCTGCTTGTAGTGAAAAATGGTTTGATAATTATTTTGTAACTTGCCGAGATAAACCATGATCTGAAGTCACAGAAAGCCATAAAAAAGATCTTTGAAGAATTGGTAAGGAGCTGCTGTAATTGGAATGTGTATTTTATAGAAGTCCCTTGTTCCTGGAGCAGTTGAGTTTTTGCCTATGAAATACCCATGTAAAACGACATACACAAATACATCTTCTATAGATTGTCAGTTTATTTTTTTGTGACATGGCATTGCTAACAGCAATAATAACTATGAATAATGGTTTGCTTATAGTGAAAGGCTACCTACGAAAGGGCGGTGTCTTGCAGGCAATGAAAGAATACAGCAAAGCTGCTTCAGCTTACCAGAAGGCACTTGAGGTGGATCCAAAATGTGAGGTGCGTGTCCCCAGGTTCTCGGATAGAACTTGCTTTCTTGTGATTGTAAAATGTCCCAGTTTGTTATTTCTGTGAAGATAATTTCTATCCATAATTCTGTCCTTAAAGTGATCTGTGCATAATTCATTAGTCACTACTATTTGTCATGCTCTGACAACAAACTTATATTACTGCTTCCCTTGTGACCAGGAAGCTTCACGGGGGTACCGGGAGGCACTGATGGCAGAGGGTGGGGATCCGGAGGCTGTCCGGAAGCGAGCCATGGCTGACCCTGAGGTACAGCAGATTCTTCAAGACCCAGCAATGCAGCTTATACTGCAGCAGATGCAGAAAGAGCCAGAGGCTGTTAGAGAGTAAGTAACACCAACTGTGGATATGGACTTTAACATTTGTTTACGCTTCAAATGATTTTTAAGGAGATGAATTCGTAAAAGAATCACTGAAATATAAAAAACAAACTTTTCACCAGACATATAAATTTGTGATTCTCTGTGCAGATAACACAGAAACATATTGAAATTTGACTTAATGAACACTCAACTTTTCCCTGTTATTCCAAATTTGATATCAAAGTCCCTATCATACTTACTAACACATTACCTTATCTGAACAGTCTCATGTATATTATCTGTATGTCAGTAATGTTCAAGTATTGAAGACATAATTTCAGTTATATTTTTTTCATTTTTTTTGTTCAGTTTTAATTAATAAGATATTATATTGTTTCTTTGTAGACATTTGAAAAATCCTGAAGTAGCCAAGAAGATTGAAAAACTGTTGGAAAGTGGTATCATTGCTATTCGTTGATAACGGGCTGGGATTACATATTGCAGAGTGATGAGGCATTATGGACATGTAAATGCACAATGGACTACAACTTCATCATGTTACTTTTAATATTGAACAACAAATGTCTGGATGATGTGAAATTCTTACAATGGTGGTCTGTCATAGATGATTTTGTGTTCCGGACGTTACAACACATTGGGGAAACCAATGTTATCCATGTTCTAGGGTAGGGGAGATGGATGATATCCCTGTACTAGGGTAGGGGA